TGTGTAAAGTTTAGTATACTCTAATTCCTTATAGTGATAGCACACGACGAGACACACATTCGGCATGTAATGCTGTTTGAATACAAGAAGGGAAACAACGCCCCTGTAGTCACAAAAAGTATCAAAGAAGTTTATGAAAATGTTTTGAACGTTCATAAGTGTTAACGATGGTTCAGTAAATTTCGTTCAGGTGACTTTAGCGTTAAAACTGTGATGGTAGTGGCCGACATGTTGGAATTGGTATTGATGCTCTGAAGACGTGAAATGGCCCTGAAATTGCATGTCTCTCATGAAACAATACGTAAACAACTAAGGAATATGGGAAAACTCCATAAAGAAGGTGTTTGGGTGCCTCACGAACTATCCGATGATCATCATTCCCAACGTGTGAATGTTGCTTCGTCTCTCTGGCGTGTAATTAGCGTGAACCATTATTGGACAGAATTGTCACCGATGATGAAAAATGGATTCTCTATGCGAATATTAAACCCCAAAAACAATGGCTCAGTCCTAGACAAAAACCACTTCCGACCACAAAACCTGGACTCCATCCGCAGAAAGCGATGCTTTGCATTTGGTAGGAAATCAAAGGAGTAATTCATTTCGAACTCCTCAATCCACAATGAACTGTCAATGCAGAGATCTGTAGTCAGCAATTGGAACGTTTAAATCAAGCCCTTCATCAGAAACACTCGTCAATCGGAAAGATGTTCTTCTTCTCCACGACAATGCACGTCCATATGTGGCACGTTTGACGCAACACAAGATTATGGAGTTGGGTTGGGAAGTTCTACCCCACCCACCATATTCTCCAGATATGGCACAATCAGATTACTATCTTTTTCGTTCGTTGCAACACCATGTTAATGGGAAAACGTATGCAAATGTGGAAGGTGTTAAAGAGGACATCGATTTGTTTTTTGCTCCAAAGCCAAGTGATTTCTTTAATCATTAACAACCTGATTGTAAGATGAAAAAGCATCATTGATAAGAATGGACATTATTTCATTTAATAAATGTTTTGTTTTGATATATAAGTTGTTCGAGTTTTTTTATCTAAAAAAGTGCACATTAATTTCTTGACGACCTAATATTTTTACAGAAAATATGTGATTGCATATATACACAACCATCGTCCGCAAAAATTGTTGACTCACTCCAGTTGAGCATTCATCAGTGAACACACTCTCCCTTTTAATAGCCAATCCCACTGTTTGTCGGTAAAGAGTTACCCAAGAGTTGACAGTGGGTACTGTTGACAAACTACTTTCTCTCTAGTCTCTCACTTCAAAATTGGGGGTGGCTTGTGCAAACAGCCCTCGTGTAGCTTTGTACAAAATTCAGCAAATAAATTAATGAACGAACAAACAAACAAATGTATCAGTTTTGACAAAAGCAGTGTTCACTTAGAGACAACTCTAAGATATTTTCTTTGTGAACAATCACATTGTGTGACTTGCGATCACCTAAATAATTGTGCCTTGATTATTGGACCTAAGGGTTGCTCTCAGATTGAAAAAGTATAATTCTTGTTCTTTGAAACCTTTTATATATTAATGAAACAGGTCGCAAAGTTAGTGAGAGATTATCATGAACCCAAGAAACATACTACTGTAATATGAGAACATACTACATGTTTTACACCCCTCTAGCTGAAACGTAAATATTATAAAATTATATTGTTTTTCTTAGTTTCCCTTTAGGATGCAGTGAGGTGCTCAAGCGAATTACTAACTTTTGCTTCCCCTAGGTAGTCAGCAGAGTTTCCTTGTCAATAACAGATTGTCTGGCTTTCGAATAATTTAATTAACTAGCTAAGTTAACTGAGATAACTAGTGCAAATCATTGCTTTATGCTTGGGCTGGAGAGGTCAGATTTGTGTATAGTTTCAGTTTTTCACTTTCAGTGAGAGCTCCTGTAGCTTTCGCATAGAGATTTTTGTGTGTTTACCAATCTCCGTAATCATTCAGCGGATACTCACTTAGTTTCTGCTGAGTTTGCCCCAGTGGCACAGCGATATGTCGCTAGAAATCGGGTTTCGATACCCGTGGTGGGCAGAGTACAGATAGTCCATTGTGCAGCTTTGTGCCTAATTTCAAACAAACAAACAAAATTCTGCTGAGTTTCTTTTGCTTAATTTTTACTTTCAGTGGGAGCATTTAAGCTTTTGCGTGTAGTGTGAGACCTTGACGTTCCATAAACAGTGTCATTTTACGATTTTATTTTTCGTCGTTAAGACAATAAGCTCTAGTTTTCGAGGGAATGTGAGCTTAGGATTTAAGTATCAGTTTATTTGCTTGTAGTTAAACACAAAGCTAAAAAATGGGCTATCTGTGTTGTGACTACCACGGAATATCGAAAACTGATTTTTAGCGTTTTAGCCTCGGGGGGGGGGGGCATGATTTAAGTATCTGTTTATTTGTTTGTAGTTAAACACAAAGCTACAAAATGGGCTATCTGCGTTGTGACTACCACGGAATATCGAAAACTGATTTTTAGCGTTTTAGCCTCGGGGGGGGGGGCATGATTTAAGTAAAGTAAAAGTAGACAGTAAGTGAAATCCAAGTGGTACTTTTACTTAAATCCTGCCCCCAATCCCCAGGTATAGTGGTAAGTGGTACGTGGATTTCATGAGTTAGATAGTCTATTTATGATACTGTAATTTTCTTTTATCTTAACTTGCAATTGTTTTTGTTTTCTTTAGCTTTTTACCTATTGTACTCTTCCTCGTGTCAGTGATAAGTTTGAGGGCTTATCATACTAAAAATCGGGTTTGATACCGTTAAAGCACATATAGTCTATTGTGTAGCTTTGAGCTTAATTACAAACATAATTTTGAACACCAGTGGGTCAGCAGTAAATTTACGAACTTACATCGATGGTTTTGTCAGTGGCTATTTCGTGGGTGAATTTAAGCACAGAGTTGTCCTGTAGGTTTTGTCGGAGCATCATTA